ATACCATATCTCAAGTCTAAAATGGAATACAAGTAAAATACAATTTACTAGAATTTAAATCAAATTAAATCCATTTAATCTCTAGATTTGAAAACTCATCTAAATCATACCAAATTAATATATATCAAGGATCAACTCATGGCCAGGCCATTTACCAAGTCTAAAATGATTTATATGCAAGATATGATAAATCACTAATTTCTCAAATTCGCAAGAGACATGCATACAACTTATATAAGCATCAATAGCATGCAAGAAACAAAAATATAACCCTATAACATCCCCTACCTCACTAGAGAAGTGTCTCTCTAGAATCCAAGGCAAATTAACACAAAATGGCAAACCCTTCAAGGGTTATGTAGAGGAGGATGAGGGGAACAAAAAGTGTTCCAAACTTTATGGTCTAAGGTGAGTGGAAGGCCATCAAAAATCAAGGTTAAGGCCAAAGGTTTCAAGTTCCATCCATGGAGGCTAGGGTTTTTGGCGAGGAAGGAATGAAATAATGTGAAAATGTGTGAGTGGAGGAAATAAAAATCCTACACTCACTATGTGCTCTTATACCATGGTCAACACACATATCTATGGTTAATTGCACAAAAACCCTTCTTTAAAACCATAATCCCTAAGTGGCCCAAAAACAATTGCAAGACTTAATTTGGAGCCTACACTTGTCACAAATCTAAGGCTCCATCCTAAGCTTAATCTCAAGCCTACACTTGTCAACCATCCAAGCCAGCAAGTGCACCAATCCTAGGCCAACAAGTGGGTGAATCTCCACCCTCCACATGTCCTCATCCAAGGCCTCAAGGTGTCCCCACACAAATGTCAACAAGTGGACTAATGAAAGTGTGACACTTGTCACACTTTCCGAAAATTGCAAAAAGATCCTTTTTGAAAATATCTTTCAAATAAAATTGCAAAATGGTCTTTAAGACGAAAAATAATTACTTTACAGTAATTACACAAAAATTCCAAAAGTTAAGAAAATTACAAAAAGGTTATGTGTCTATAACCTTTACAAGAAAAGTAAACACTTAACATGTTTCTACAAAAGTGAAAATACACATAGTATGGAATTTAAATATCATGGATGCATGCAAAACCGGAATAAAATCCGAACACGAAAAGTGAGGTTATGCTAACAAAGTGACAACCGAGAAAAAGACGAAAGGTGAATAGTGTCACAAAAGTAAAAATGTGAAAATGACTCGGTCCTCAAAGGAAGTCGTTAATCCACGGAAAAGAGTCTCGGAAACCATCTCCGAGCACTCAAGATGACACTAAGTGACGAGAAACCGAACTCAGAAAGGAAAAGATCAACGAAGAAAAAAAAAAAAAATATCCGTGAAAATCTGAGAAAATGAAAGGAAAGAAAATGACCGGGTTATTACAATAACCCATCATCAAGCCTAGGCCATCATGCTAGGACCGTCTCTTTACACCAGTCTGTTTCTTTTTAACTAGCTTATACACAGGACTACCACATACATGCATCTACAACATTATACACACACACACACACACATACATATTTATTTACATGACTACCATTTTGTCCATGATGAGGCCTTCGATAAGCCCTTCTCTAAACGTTGAACAACAAATCTACCATCTCAATCGAGTTCCCACTATCTCTCAATACATGTATACACATATACCTACTCGGATATTGAGCGCCCAACACTTCTGTCTCAATGGTATGATTAGTCAATCAATGGATCCAAAGCCTCGATCTGACTTAGACATCGAGCGTCCAGTGCCTCTGTCCCAACGGCATAATTAGTCAATCGACGGACCTAGAGCCTCGATCTGTCTTGGACATCGAGCGCCCAGTGCCTCTGTTCCAATGCCATGATTAGTCAATCGACGGACCCAGAACCCCGATCTGACTCAGATATTGAGCGCCAAGCACCTCTGTCCCAACATCATGATTACACTTAATGACACCAGAACCTCGATCTAACTTAGACAGTGAGTGCTTAGAGCTTATGTCCCAACATCATGTATAGTCCAGTGACAGACCCAAAACCTCGACGGGCTACGCCCTCAGGTTATTACCCTTTAGCATCCATACCCGGTTATCCAGAACCTCGACGGGCCACGCCCTCAGGTTATTACCCCCTAACATCCATACCCGGTTATCCAGAACCTCAACGGGTCACGACCTCAAGTCATCCAATCCTGGCATCCTCACTCGCGCAGGGGGACTACCCTATTATAAATACCTATATATTTGTGGTGACATATCATCAATAAATTACCAACAACCTCAACTTAGAACAATGCTTGAAATCATCGAGCGACCTAGAGCCTCGAATGAACTATCATAAAAGTTAATCAAGTAACCTAGGGCATCAACCAAACTTCACCATTCGAAGTCTATCGAGCAGCCCAGTCCCGAACTATCACTAGACGATCAATCGACAGACTCCTCCTCGATTTGACTCCCATTGAGCAACTCAGAACACTTACCCCATATGAGATACCTCCTCTGAGGACACATCGAGCACCTGTTTTACACCACTAGTCGATCAAAGCACTCCTCCGTGATCCGACCATATCCAGCAATCGTCTTACCTAACTGGTCAATCAAAGCACTCCTCCTTGATCCGATCACATCGAGCAATCGTCCTGCACTCACTGGTCGATCAAAGCACTCCTCTTCGATCCGACCTCATTGAGCAGCCTAGCCTTGAACTCTAGTCGATCAAAGGACTTCTCCTCGATCCGACTCCCATCAAGCAACCTAGTCTCGAACTCACTAGTCGATCGAAGGACTCCTCCTCGATTCGACTCCCATCAAGCGACCTAGAGCCTCACACTTTAACCAAATCAAGTCCATTAAAGGACTCAGAACACTTACCCAAGATGAGATACCTTATATAGAAACATGCTTTGCTGCTTAAACGTATTTCTTATAAATTTTATTTTTTCCTTTAGGAATCTCGAAGGATCCCTCATTTTCCTTTACGATTACAACACATCTTTTTATGCCCGACTAACCTTCTACTTTCTACAAAGCTTACTCACGCAGGGGGACTAATGTGGATACCTATATTTCGAGTCCACATGGCAAACGCCACATCATTAACAATGGCCTACACAGCTCGGTCAAATGGTCAACGAGTTACGCCACATCAGTAGCGATAGCCCACATAACATGGTCAACGGTCAATGTTACCACGGCATCAACATACTTCGAACAGAAGAACGAAGACCTGAGTTGGGAGCAGGACTCAGGATTTTCTGGGATCTGAGGAGGTTTTGGTTTGGTGGCTGAAGTTTAGGGTTCGCCGAGTCGACACTCGGCCTGACTTGCAGAGAGAGAAATACCATTTTGACTCTCGAGCATTTAACTCCATCTTATTTAATGTTACTTTATAATTATTTGAGAAATTAATCTCTTTTATGAGAAATTAATCTCTTTTAATTATTTTGTTAATGGACCTTGCGATGTCATTGATGACGTCACCCACCCTCTTGGCCTATAAAAGGAAATAACCTAAGGCCAAGAAAAGGGCAGACATAAGGAGGAAAATTCATCTTAGACCGAGAGCTCTAAACTCTCTCTCTCTCTGAGATGGGCTGTCTTCACAACCCCTAAAAGATGGATCAAGGAGTCAATGGTGTTTTCTATATACACTTCCATCTCTCTTTCTCTCTCTTGTTTGCCTGGGCTTCCACCTTTCTCAATCCACCTCGGATTCCATCATGTTGTAAGATTTACCTCACCATCTATTATTTTGTGATGATCTGGAACCCGCCTGAAAACCAGGTATCTACAAAGGTGATAGTAAGGTGACGTGCAAGCAAATGTTGAACAAAATGCATAGTGTCTGTTTGTTATCCTAATAAAAGGAGAGAGGAGGAGAAGATTTTTATTTGCGGTTGATTAAAAACGATAAGCAAAGTTACAGAGTTTGTTTTCTGCAATTAAAATATAAAAAAATTATAAATCACTTTTCATATAATTTTGTTTATAATATTAGTCATAGTTTTTATAATTTTTTAAAAATTTAAATTAAAAATGAGAAAAACGCGACCTAGACAAAAAAATTGATATGAGAGAAAAAAAAAAAACTAGAAGTTACAAGTAAAAAGAACGGTAAAGAAAAAGGCATGGTTAGAGAGTTAATTTTCCTTCCACAATTATTTTAATTTTTCAAAAATTCAATTTTTGAGAAAAAGGTTTTAACTACTATAATTCAATCCGAGAAAGATATAACATTTCTAAGTTGATGAAAGATTAATAAGAAAAATCATTTTTTTAAAACAAAATCTCTCAAATTTTAGAAAACACAGGATTATTACTTTTAATAATACAACCATAGAATTTGTCATTTAACAAATGACAATTAAAAATATTAGTGTGTGTCTATATATATATATATATATATATGATATAATTGTTAGTGTTGACATTCTAGTCAATTTGATCTCAGGCCCTTAATTTCTCCATATTCTTATAAATATCATTTTTCAAAAATGTTGATGAAAAATGTTCACGCATATTTATTAGACATGAGAAGATATTAGTGTATATATATTTTTTCCTTTTTCTATCTTAAATTAAGATAATGTACTGTATATTATATCAATTTGGACCATTTATAATATACAGTACATTATATTAATTTAAGATAGAAAAAGGAAAATATATATATACACTAATATCTTCTCATGTCTAATAAATATGCGTGAACATTTTCATCAACATTTTTGTAAAATGATATTTATAAGAATATGGAGAAATTAAGGGCCTGAGATCAATATATATCATGACCAATTTTGCCTTTTATACTTGGATTATATGTTTCCTCCGCTACACTTTAATGGCCTGAATTGTTTCCTTCGCTGCATTAACATGTATAATGTTTCACATTTTGGACTCTTTTTTGACATTGTTTGTAACTGTTTAAAATATAATAAGCTCACTCAAACATGTTTGGACTTAAAATGAGTCATTATAGCAGGCCTACAACAAAAACAAAAACAGATAAAACAAAACATACGCCAAACAGACTCTTTATGCTTACCTCCCATCCGGATTTATTACACTATTCTCTCATGGACTAGCGCTATGGCAGTATTCATTTCTCTTATTAAAGTTACTTACACAATAGTTAGATGCAGAGAATATTGTAATCATAATAGGACAGTCATTGCAAATACAAATACAAATACAATGCCTGCATAAATTTAAATTTTAGGCTATATAATCCTCCATTCGATGAATGGCAATCTTCAATGGACAATAACAACTTCCAGTACTCTCCATCGCACTCACCAGCTTACCAAGCTCTCCTCCAAGCCGGTCCGCGTCTCAAACCCCTCCAACAAGTCCACGCTCACCTCATCGTCTCCGGCTCACACCGTAGCCTTCCACTTGTCACCAAACTCCTCACCTTAGCCTGCACCGCCGGCTCATACCTATACACTCGTAAACTCTTCTTCTCCATCTCCAACCCTGACTCCTTCCTCTTCAATTTCATTATCAAAACCTCAACCAAGTTTCACTTCCCTCTCCACGCCGTTCTCTATTATCGTCGCATGCTCATTGCCCATATATCGCCTTCCAACTACACTTTCACGGCCGTGATCAAAGCGTGCGCTGATTTATCTGCCTTGGGATGCGGCAGGGTTGTACATTCTCAAGCTTTGGTTTGTGGGTATAGTTTGGATTTGTTTGTTCAGGCTGCTCTTGTTAGCTTCTATGCAAAATGTGGTAATTTGGGTGTTGCTAAGACAGTGTTTGATAAAATGCCGGAGAGAACAGTTATTGCTTGGAATTCTATGATTTCAGGGTACGAGCAGAGTGGGTTTGCTGAGGAGGCTATTGGGTTGTTCCTCAAGATGCGGGATTTCGGTGTTGACTTTGATTCAGCGACATTTGTGAGTGTGTTGTCAGCCTGTTCCCAGATGGGGGCTCTTGGTCTCGGTTGTTGGGTGCACGACTATATAACTAATAATGGTTTGGAGTTGAATGTGAATCTTGGTACTGCATTGATTAATATGTACGCAAGGTGTGGAAATGTAAGGAAAGGGCAAGAAGTTTTTGATCAGATGAATGAACGGAATGTTGTGACTTGGACGGCTATGATTTCTGGATATGGAATGCATGGTCATGGTAGCGAAGCACTTGACCTCTTTCATCTAATGAGAACTCGTGGGCCACCTCCTAACGATGTTACATTTGTTGCTGTCTTGTCTGCTTGTTCTCATGCGGGATTAGTACACGAGGGGCGCTGGGCATATGCAAGTATGTGGACAGATTACGGTGTAAAGCCAGGAATGGAGCATCATGTCTGCATGGTTGATATGCTTGGGCGGGCTGGATATCTCAAAGAAGCATTTCAATTCATAAAAGAATTATATCCTCTCAAGCCAGCACCAGCAGTGTGGACTGCAATGCTCAGTGCTTGCAAGATGCACAAGAATTTTGATCTTGGAGTACAAGTTGCTGAGCATCTCTTAGCTGCAGAACCGGATAATCCAGGACATTATGTTCTGCTTTCTAATATATATGCATTGGCTGGTCGGATGGATAGAGTGGAAACAGTTAGAAATTTAATGATTCGGAAGGGCCTTAAGAAGCAAGTTGGCTATAGCATAATAGAAGTTGGTCAGAAAACCCATCTGTTTAGCATGGCTGACAAATCACATCCCGAGACAAATGCAATCTATCAATACTTAGATGAGTTGATGCGGAGGATTAAGGAAGCAGGGTATGTACCTGCACCTGAATTGGTAATGCATGAGTTGGAAGAAGAGGAGAGGGAATATGCTGTCAGCTACCACAGTGAGAAGCTTGCAATAACATTTGGGATTTTAAGAACTAAACCGGGGATGGCTATAAGAATTGTGAAGAACCTCCGTATGTGTGAGGACTGCCATTTAGCTATTAAGTACATTTCAGTTGTTGCCAAGAGAGAAATTATTGTTCGTGATAAGCTTCGGTTTCACCGTTTTAAGGATGGGTCTTGTTCTTGCGTGGATTACTGGTGATAACAACATTTGCTAGCCGAACTTGTCTGTGTTATTAGGATTGATCACCAAATACAGGTCAATCAGTAGTATTCTATAGATACTTCAAATACATAATATAATGCCTCCTCATTAGAAGTGAAATTGACCTAAGTTTATCATCTGCAGGTTGCTAGGGAGTGCAATCTGTTGCATCCCTGTTCCTGGTTTGGGTGCTTGGAAATAATGAAAAGCTGTGAAAAAAACTGTTGAAATGATCAAACGACTTCCACACGTTCAACAACCCCAGAGGTAGCCCCAGACATGCTTTACTTTTAGTCCAAGTAAGGCACAGTCATTGTTCAGTTTACCTTTTATGTAAACAAAGCTTCATTTTGCAGCCACAGGGCTAAATGATTGTCTCTGGATCATGGTACTTTTCAGTGGTCATTGAGTTGCTCGTCGCTGATACTGAAAGAGGATTCCTTTTTGTTCTTGTTTCATTTTCTAAAACCCAAATTCTTCTTCTAAAAGCTTTATCAAGTAAAAGAAATCTCTCTCTATATATATTTTTGACAACCAAAAAAAGAAAAAAAGAAATAGAAAAGAAGGAATAATCAAGACCATCTGCTAATTCTGTTGTGGTTCTAATGTTTTGTTTTTTTGTTCAGAAGAATTTTCATGCTCGTGTGATGGTGCCCTAAAATCAGGATTCGAAAAGCAAGCCATAAAGAATTGATCCCGTGATCAAAAGTATACTTTACTCTCTCCTGTACTTTCTCTGATGTTAATTTTTATGAGTAATAGCTGTTTACTTTATAGTTACTGAACAACACCATGTATTGATGAATATAGGATTGAATTTGATGGAATAACTCAGGTGTAAATTTGTTCAAAATTTCACTCTTTTTTTCCTTGTCCTGGTTGTCCATTTGGGAAATTTTGCTTATTTGGGAAGATGATAATTCCTAGCGTTGAAAGAGCTAAACCTAGATAATTCTTAAAGTTTAAACAATGTATAGCTAGTCCAATCCAATTGTACATCGTGCACCATTATGAGAGTCATTCCAAAACTGTGTTTAATGGAACCCAAATCCTCTCTGTACACTGCGACTTCTAATGCCTTGGGATGGTGAAAATCACCCCCACACTGCCGGATGGGTGATCCCCATGCACTGAAAGAGCAGTGCACCGGAGAAGATTTTGTTCCTGTTTTCTGTTTATTGTGGAAATGAGACCCTACTACTAATATGGACCCTAGCTAGAGTAACGTAAGGCCTGGTATTAGAAGCTGTTTTTGTTCTATCAAAAACCTCATTTTTAATTACAGGAAATGATATTTTGTACTATTAAAAAGGCTGAAAGAGTTAGCTGAACTAAGTAGATGGGAGAAAAAGAGATAAAGATAGACATCGTAGACCTACATGAATGTAGACAAGTCTTATTTTTTTGATTATTCATTTGACTTGTATATGACATTTTTTAGCCCTACGTGTTCCACACGTTATGAATTGCAGGTTGTTGTAGCTTATAAGCAAATTGAATAACCAAAAGGGGAAGGCTGTTTCAAAAAAGCAGATGCGTTACAATTAATTTTGAGAACCATATTTTTCTAACTTTCTTCGTGTTATATCGAGTGAGGGTCACTCATAATTAGTAGTTGGAATATGGAAATTCCCATTTGTGAAATAGGGAATTCAGGACATTAGTGTCACACAAGTGATTGGTACTTTTTGTTCTCTTTTTCAAACCCATCAAGCTTTTCTTATCTTGTTAAATCAAATACACAACTCAATTACTGTAAAGTTGCTTATAGATTCTTACTTTAGCATTTGAAGGATACTAATCGTGTCTCTTGTTTGGCCACCTTCGAATATTCTTCTTAAAAAGAAGTAAAAGCTCCAACCTTGAGCTAGCTACAACAAAAGCTGGGTCATAAAACAGTGATTTTATCATAAAAGAGTGAGGAAGGCATTACCTACAACCTTTAGTGTAGGTAAAATAATGAGAAAGTAAAAAGTGTTTATTAGTTTTTCAACGCACTTATATTTTTACGCTTTATCTATGTTTCAATACAGTTGAAACACTATTTTTAATTGAGTTAAAACACTATTTTTAATGCATTATTTCGTGTTTCAACTGATTTAAAATATAAATGAAATATGTTACATTGAAACATGTTAAAAAGGAGCTGTTATAACTGCAAAGTAGTACTTGTTTTGTAAATTGATTAACTAAATGAAATTTTTTATTGAATTTGTTATCCAACGGGCGCATCTGAACCGTTTATATTATATATATATATATATATATATATATATATGTCCATGTGTATATTACACAGGCCCTACGTAACGAAGTTTTTCTTAGGGTGTATTTGTGGAGTGTGGAGCGTTGCGCAGCTGATTATGAATTCTCCACTAAACGTCCAGCTCCAATTAGAATAATCCGTAGTAGTAAATTATTTCTTGACTGAAGTGTGTCTGCAGCACAGTCAGCCAGAGATTCTCTCCATTTAATACGAGTACTTAATAGCTGTTAAAAAGAAACGCAATTTGATGAGTTCATCAATACCGTCGTTTTTGTTTGTGTTAATTCAGTGGGCCCACATAAAATAATACTCCACCAACAATGCTGCCGTTACAATCCAAAAATAGAAATTTACACGTTTGATGAAATCCAGTGGGCCCACATAGAAAATGAAATCCAACAGTTATGCTGATTTTCTCATCAGCGGTTTCATTTGAAATACAAGACTCTCTAAACACAACACTTATCACTGATCACCAACTATTCAACTCAAAAATTAAGTTGGGTAGATCGGTTGATGTATTCTCCTCGGCAAAATACATAGGATGTCAAAATAAGACAAATTTGTTTCAGCAAAATTTTTATTTCATATGACCATTAATGATTTATTGACGAAACGAAATGATTTTATTTTAAAATACTTTTTAGATAATTTTTATTTCATATGACCATCAGCGGTTTCATTTGAAATACAAGGCTCTCAAAACACAACACTTATCACTGATCACCAACTATTCAACTCAAAAATTAAGTTGGATAGATCGGTTGATGTATTCTCCTCGGCAAAATACATAGGATGTCAAAATAAGACAAATTTGTTTCAGCAAAATTTTTATTTCATATGACCATTAATGATTTATTGACCAAACGAAATGATTTTATTTTAAAATACTTTTTAGATAATTTAGTGGAGTTATTTGTCACGGTTAAAAAAGATGGTATTTACAAATTTCAAACGCTGAAGGAAATTTTACTGGGGTAAATTTTACTTTAAAATACTAATAATCTTAAAAAATGTGGGGCCAGTAAAAATGTTTAGCAGCCTGTCCTTGCACTTATTCCCAGGAGGAAGAGTTGAACACGTGATGACCTTTTAGGCCCACTTTTCTCTCTAGTTAAGTTAAGTGGCGTGCTATCCACTCTCTCATCGACGCGTGGTCCTTGGGAGATGAAACGTTATCATTTTCTAAATTCTAAACGAAGCTCAAGATACCACCATACCACATTGAACCGATTAGACTGGCGGTAGTAGCTGTAGAACACAAAGGTCTTTGTTTCTCGTTCTCTATCCTTATGATATGTATGTATGTGTGTTCTGTGCTTGTAATCTCACTCTGTTGATCTTCATCCAGTTCAACAATTAGCAAGCTGCAAGTGGAATTGATCTGAAAAGTTGCGAGGGAAAGCTGTTTTAAACAACCTCATCTGATGCAATCATGAGACAACGCCCATTACCCACGCGCGGCCGTGGCTCGCCGTACGCGCGGCCACCGCCTCCTCCACGGTTCGAAGAGCCTTTCAACATAATCCCCATCAACAACCTCCTAACCGACCACCCTTCCCTCCGGTTCCCAGAGGTACGCGCCGCCGCCGCCGCCCTACGTGCAGTCGGGGACCTCCGGAGACCACAATTCCGCACATGGGCCAACGGCATGGACCTCATGGACTGGCTCGGGGCCTTCTTTGGGTTCCAGAACGACAACGTTCGTAACCAAAGAGAGCACTTGGTACTCCACTTAGCTAACTCTCAAATGCGCGTCAAACCGCAGCCGACAATCCCCGACGACCTCGATCCGCCGGTCCTCCGCCGCTTCCGCCGCAAACTCCTCCAAAACTATACCTCTTGGTGCTCCTACCTCGGCCGGAAATCAAACGTGCAGCTCTCGAATCACCGCGATTCCGACCTCCTCCGCCGCGAACTGTTGTACGTATGTCTCTATCTCTTGATCTGGGGCGAAGCCGGAAATGTCCGCTTCGTCCCTGAATGTATATGCTATATATATCACCATATGGCCATGGAGCTTAACCAAGTTCTTGACGAGCATATTGATGATTTTACGGGCGCTCCTTTTCTTCCCTCAACTTTGGGAGAAAATGGTTTCTTGAACCGTGTAATTATGCCCATTTACCAGACAATTAGGGGCGAAGTCGAGAGGAGTCGAAATGGGACTGCTCCGCATTCGGCTTGGAGGAACTATGATGATGTGAATGAGTACTTTTGGAGTAGAAGGTGTTTTCGGAGGCTCAAGTGGCCCATTGATGTTGAAAGTAAATTTTTAGCAACAAATAGTGAAAAGAGAGTAGGGAAGACTGGGTTTGTTGAGCAAAGGACATTTTGGAATGTGTTTAGGAGCTTTGATCGGTTGTGGGTTCTGTTGATTTTGTTTTTACAGGCTTCAATTATTGTTGCTTGGGAGGGTACAGAGTTCCCATGGCAAGCATTTGAGCAGAATCCCGATGTGAAGGTTGAATTACTCACTGTTTTTATCACTTGGGCGGGTCTTCGAATTATCCAATCAGTGCTTGATGCTGGAACACAGTATAGTTTGGTTACCAGGGAGACTGTGTGGCTTGGCGTGAGGATGGTGCTTAAGGGCATGGTTGCTGTGACTTGGACTATTGTGTTTGGGGTATTCTATGGGTTAATTTGGAGACAAAAGAATGCTGATGGGAGGTGGTCGGATGAGGCAAATGATCAGATTATTAGGTTTCTTTGGGCTGCCTTTGTGTTTGTCATCCCAGAGTTGCTAGCATTGGTTCTTTTTATTCTTCCATGGATTAGGAATGTCATTGAAGAAACAAACTGGATGATTTTTTACATGATGACATGGTGGTTTCAAACACGAATCTTTGTGGGTCGCGGGATAAGGGAAGGGCTTGTTAGCAACATAAAATACACTCTCTTCTGGATTGCAGTATTGCTTTCGAAATTCTCATTCAGTTACTTCCTTCAAATCAAGCCCTTGGTCAGCCCGACAAAGTATCTCTTGAATGAAAAGGATATAAAATACAAATTTCATCAATTTTTTAATGGTAGCAATAGAACAGCAGTTGTATTGATGTGGATTCCAGTTGTTCTGATATACCTAATAGATATGCAAATCTGGTATTCAATTTTTTCCTCTCTTGTTGGCGGTACTATTGGGTTGTTCTCACATTTAGGCGAGATCCGAAATATCCAACAGCTGAGGCTTAGGTTCCAGTTCTTTGCTAGTGCATTGCAGTTTAATCTCATGCCAGAGGATCTGCCCATGAGTTCAACCCCGACCTTGGTGCACAAGCTCCGTGATGCAATCCATCGATTGAAGCTACGATACGGGCTTGGTCTCTACAAGAAGATTGAATCAAGCGAGGTGGAAGCAACCAGATTTGCCTTAATATGGAATGAAATTATTATAACTTTCCGGGAAGAAGATCTCATCAGTGACCGAGAACTGGAGCTTATAGAATTGCCACCTAACTGTTGGCAGATTAGTGTTATTCGTTGGCCATGCTTTCTCCTGTGCAATGAGTTGCTTCTCGCTCTGAGACAGGCAGCAGAACTGTCTGATAAACTTGATCTCTGGGTTTGGTTTAAGATATGCAAGAATGAGTATAGGCGGTGTGCGGTAATTGAAGCCTATGATAGCATCAGGTACTTGCTTCTTGAGATTGTTAAATATGGCACTGAAGAGCATTCCATTGTTACAAAATTGTTCATGGAGATTGATAATAATATTAAGGGTGAAAAGTTCACAAGGAACTACAAGTTGACTATTCTACCAAAAATTCATGCTCAATTGATATCTCTTATTGATCTTTTGCTGATACCTGAGAAAGATACAAGTAAGGTGGTCAATGTATTGCAGGCCTTGTATGAACTTTCTGTTCGAGAATTTCCCTGGGTGAAGAAGTCCACTGAACAGTTGAGGCATGAAGGCCTGGCACCTCTTAATCGAACCACTGATGCAGGGCTGCTTTTTGAGAATGCTGTTCAACTTCCCGATGATGAGGATGATTTCTTCTATAAGCAGCTGCGACGGTTGAAGACTATTCTTACCTCTAGAGATTCGATGCACAATGTTCCAAAAAATCGTGAGGCAAGACGGCGCATCGCGTTTTTTAGCAATTCACTTTTTATGAACATTCCGCGTGCTCCCAAGGTTGAGAACATGATGGCTTTTACTGTTCTGACTCCTTACTATGATGAAGAAGTTGTGTTCGGGAAAGAAAGTCTTCGAAGTCCAAATGAGGATGGTATTTCCACCTTGTTTTATCTGCAAAAGATTTATGAAGATGAATGGATGAATTTTATGGAGAGGATGCGTAGAGAAGGAATGCAGGATGACAATGAAATCTGGTCAATTAAAGCAAGGGATCTCCGCCTTTGGGCGTCATACAGAGGCCAGACTCTATCCCGGACTGTAAGGGGAATGATGTATTACTACAGGGCTCTCAAAATGCTTGCCTTTCTGGATTCTGCATCTGAGATGGACATACACCAGAGATCGCAAGAAATTGCTTCGCTTGGTTCAGTGAGGCAGAACAGCAATTTGGATGGTTTGGGTAACGGTGCGGCGCCTGCTTCTCGCAATCTCAACCGAGCAAGTACTGGTGTAAGTCTTCTGTTTAAAGGGAATGAGTTTGGGTATGCTCTGATGAAATTCACATATGTGGTCACATGCCAAATTTATGGGTATCAGAAGGCGAAGGGTGACGCCCGTGCTGAGGATATTTTATATCTGATGAAAAACAACGAAGCCCTTCGGGTTGCTTATGTTGATGAGGTTTATTTGGGAAGAGACGAAGTGCAGTATTACTCCGTTCTTGTCAAGTACGACCAGCAACTGAAGAAAGAGGTGGAAATCTATCGCATTAGGTTGCCTGGTCCACTGAAACTTGGGGAGGGTAAACCAGAGAATCAGAACCATGCCATTATCTTCACACGGGGAGATGCAGTTCAAACTATTGACATGAACCAAGACAATTGTTTTGAGGAGGCACTCAAGATGCGGAATTTATTGGAAGAATTTAAAACCTACTATGGTATCAGGAAACCAAGCATTTTGGGAGTTCGTGAAAATATTTTCACAGGTTCTGTATCATCACTTGCTTGGTTCATGTCTGCTCAGGAAATGTGTTTTGTGACACTAGGGCAGCGTGTTCTGGCAAACCCGCTCAAGGTGAGAATGCACTATGGTCATCCAGATGTGTTCGACAGGTTCTGGTTCCTGACCCGGGGTGGCATCAGCAAGGCTTCTAGAGTTATCAATATTAGTGAGGACATATTTGCTGGCTTCAATTGCACACTGCGAGGCGGCAATGTAACACACCATGAATACATACAAGTGGGTAAGGGAAGGGATGTTGGATTGAATCAGATCTCCATGTTTGAGGCAAAGGTTTCTAGTGGCAACGGTGAGCAGGTTTTGAGCAGAGATGTATACAGGTTGGGTCATAGACTGGACTTTTTCCGTATGCTTTCATTCTTCTACACTTCTGTGGGATCCTACTTCAACACTATGATGGTGGTTGTTACTGTCTATACATTTTTGTGGGGTCGCCTCTATCTTGCTCTCAGTGGTGTTGAGAACGATTCTATCAACAATAATGCCCTTGGTGCAATCCTGAATCAGCAGTTCATTATCCAGATGGGACTGTTCACTGCCCTTCCAATGATCGTGGAGAACTCTCTGGAGCATGGATTCCTTCAGGCAATCTGGGACTTTTTAACAATGCAATTGCAACTTGCTTCATTATTTTACACTTTCTCTATGGGAACTCGTACACATTTCTTTGGACGCACCATTCTTCATGGGGGTGCTAAGTACCGAGCCACAGGGCGTGGTTTTGTTGTGCAACACAAGAGCTTTGCTGAGAACTATAGACTGTACTCTCGCAGCCATTTCGTGAAGGCAATTGAACTCGGGGTGATTCTGATAGTGTATGCTGCGCATAGCTCCGTGGCTAGGGATACTTTTGTCTACATAGCTATGTCTATCTCAAGTTGGTTTCTTGTTGTGTCGTGGATAATGTCCCCTTTTGTGTTCAACCCTTCTGGCTTTGATTGGTTAAAAACTGTGTATGACTTTAATGATTTCTTGAACTGGATATGGTATAAAGGAGGAGCAGTTTTTGCAAAGGCAGATCAGTGCTGGGAAACATGGTGGTATGAGGAACAGGACCATTTGAGAACAACTGGCATTTGGGGAAAGTTGTTAGAGATAATTATAGATCTTCGTTTCTTCTTTTTCCAGTATGGGATTGTCTACCAGTTGAACATTACTGGTGATAACACCAGTATTGCTGTTTACTTGCTATCCTGGATCTACATGGTTGTGGCCGTTGCTATTTATGTGGTCATGGCATATGCTGGGGACAAGTATGCTCCAACAAAGCACATCTACTATCGGCTGATTCAGCTACTTGTCATTGCGCTTTCAGTACTTGTTATTTTTCTGTTTCTAGAGTTCACCGACCTTGTATTTCTCGATCTCATCACGAGCGTGTTGGCATTCGTCCCCACGGGATGGGGGCTTATACTTATTGCGCAGGTGCTCAGGCCTTTTCTGCAGTCCACTGTGGTGTGGGGGACTGTTGTTTCCTTGGCTCGGCTGTATGATATGATGTTCGGGTTGATTGTTATGGTTCCTTTGGCAATGCTATCATGGATGCCTGGATTCCAGTCAATGCAGACAAGGATCCTATTCAACGAAGCATTCAGCAGGGGTCTCCAGATTTCTCGTATTCTTACTGGCAAAAAATTCAACTATGACATGTAACTTGAGGTAATATTCATTCTCAAGTTTTTCAGACTTCTGTAGTCCTCTCATGTTATACCGTATCTTCTCTTAATGCTAACTAGTCATCTTTTCTCAAGAATTAATATCAGAGACGTAAATTCTATATGCGCACTCTTTTTCGTAGTTCCTACTTGAATCAAATGAGAATACTTAACCTTGGGGACCAACTTGATACTTGTCAGTTTCAGGAATTGCATCCATTCAAACTAGTGAGTTTGTCAATCAATGGACTGATCAACAGATCTTTTTGGTAAAATGTGAGACAATATTCATATCTGATTCATGTTCTAAACGTAATATTTTGATCAGATTTGCAAATGCCTACTACTGCTTGACCCTCATAATAATGAGTGTGTGATATTCAAAGTGGGAATTAGTCTTATGGTACAAATCAATAGTCTAGGAAGCACGGACACGCCTCGAGACGTGTAAGACACACCAAAAAATGTGTCCAAATATTTTGTATTTTTTTTAATATTCAGACACATGCGTCCGACACGCCATGGATACGTGTCCGACACACGTGTCCCATTCTTAGGGATTTTTAAGAAAGTTTTAGAAACAATGTTGAGTTGAAGTATAAATATTAGGAGGAGTTTAATTACTTTCAGCAATATGATGGTAATTATTTGTTGTTTTATAAAACAATTTTATATTAAAAATAATTAAATATTTATCCTTATATGTTCAAACTCTTGCATAATCATGTTTGACTATCTTGTTCTCCCACCAACCAAGCTTCGCTAGCAGTGGATGGTCTCTCTTACCTCTCTTCTGCTTTGTCGTCCTCTTTTCTTTCTTCTTGTTCTTCACAAATATTAGATACTTCTTTTTTTCCTCTCACAATAAATTTCTTTTTGAGTTTCTTTTTCCTTTTTCCTCTATTTCCTATGAACTTTTTTTCTCTTCTATGGATTCTTACCTTTATTTTTAACTAACTCTTAATTCTTATTCTAAGAAAACCCTAATCCTCTTTGTTTCTTTGTTTTTGTTTTCTCCTTCTATGATTCTTTCTTTTTACCAAAAAAATACAATTTTTTTTCAAAGATTGTAAAAACTAACATTAATATTAATTTGTACAACATTATATATATATATATATATAAAGTTATTTATTATTTGTCGTGTTCCCGCCGTATCCGTGTACTAATTTTTCTAGATTTCCCGTATCGCCGTATCCGTTTATCTGTTTCCGTGCTTCATAGCCTGTAGCCAATTAATCTAAAAATTTGTGTTAAGGGTGGTTAAGAAGCAAATTAGATTTGTACAATAGTTCCTAATTATTATTATTTTCCCTGAAACATATCTATTTTTTAACCTTTTATTCTTTTATAGAGTGACGAGGAAAACTTACTTTGAAAATGAGTGGAACAGGTTCAAAAAAGTGGTACTACAGTCGTACGGCCGTACCATTCACTCACACCCATACACATTTAGAATACTTCTATTATTGAGTACACCCTCACTATTAGAGTCCCTCCTTATATATAGACATCATATATACATATTATGATATCTAGTCTCTGGAATATTCTAAATATTTATAACTCTATTAATATCTCTATTATTTAAAAAGCTTTACTATCTACAAATGTCTATAAGCTCTCTAATATTTTAGAATCTTTCAAATATCTCCGGTGCTTAACAATCTGTACACAATTGTGGAAGACTTTAAAATTCACTCTGTACATGCCATGCACATGTTAATGTAGTGCCATGACTAGATATGACCTTATGAATAAATGATGCCTATGTATAAGGAGGGGCTCCAATAGTGAGGATGAATTCCGTATTCTAAATGTGTATGTGTGTGCAAACTGAGTGAGTGGCACGAGTGAGTGTAGGAACACTCATCCTATTGTTTCTTTCTATTTTAACCAACCTGGCTAGATGTCTGATTTTCTAAAAAATCTTACATTTTTAGTGGGTGGGTTATCTTACCCTTGATCTTGAATTATAAATAGAACTATGAATTCAAAATGGGACCATGGTAGAGTTCAACTTTTGGCACAGTTGAGGCGAAGCTTTAAAGATTCTTGAGAGCACCATATCAAACCCTGCCTCTCTAGTCTTGGACAACCCTGATGAGTCAACTCGAGACTACCACTCACTTATCCGCTTTTACAAGTCAGACTGAACTTCCATCTACCTTGATCCACTTGAGACCTTCATTGTATTACGTTTAATACCTCCAACGCACCTTTAATCGGTCACAAATTTTTTTTTGAGAATTTCTTTGATTTTTTTTAATTTTTTTTCAGTCCTCAATCTCCACCAAAAATCTAAGTATTATTATGATTAATTGGTCAACATTGTAAATATCGAGGCCAATTAAATTTACTATTATTTGTTATCCAATTCACCATTTTATCAATACATGTTTGTTTTGTGTTATTAGTATACAAACATGGATGTGTTGAATGATTGAGACATGATGCAGGTAAATATTTCTGCACTGTAATTTCAATCTTTGTTGGAACTATGTTCCTTGGTTGAAATCTGGAATATACTTCTTAAGCATTTGTAAACTCACATGACTTGTTGCCCGTGTTATCAATCTGAAATTTTTAGCCCTTTGTCATAGAATGGCTAACCTCTGGCTGGATGCTGGACGATGTGAGCTTTGGGGCCGAGTTCAATTTTGAACCAAAAAACAATAGTTTGGGCTGAGCTTTTGCTTTAGCGCAATTCAGTCCTAGCCCCATTGCCATTGGTAGTCCTACAAGATGAAATTGACTATTCGAAATCGTAGGGGAAATAAAAGATTTTATTTCTTTGTCATGTTCAAATGTTTTCCAACTAATTCACTTCTGTGGAATATCAATGATTCAGAGGTGTATAAATATTTGCTGGCACATAATTTACTGCCACTGTGATTATTTCTAGACTAAAATAACTACCATGTATCCACTTTTTCCTTGATATTTTCCTTTTCATTGTTTGACTAGCATCACTCGTGATTTACAGTAATTAACAAGAGGATTGTACGATGATTTCAGGTTTTCTGGTGGGACTAGGTGTAGAACATTAAGACAAGACTGCCGGTTATGGCAAAGGACGCTGCTTTATGTAGCAACCATATCAATTGACCATGGAGGAGGTTTGGAATTTTTCTGTCTCCTTTGAACAACTGGGTTTATTCCTATTTTCATCTGTAATCACCCCACTTCAGTGTAATTAAGCAATTGATAGGAAAACTTTCGGTTCATGTATGTTCATCGCCCCCTTTTTTTGTCCATGATATAATTTGTACATATCATCAATATCTAATGCATCTTACTTTATTCTTATTCAGATGAACATTTTATTTCCTAACACCTCTCACATTTCTATTCGTGTGTTGCTGCACATGCATATGAAGTCCGGTGCACTTTGGAACATATTTTTGTGAAGATAAAAACCGTACCACATGAACATGGAGAATCAGATTTAGTATGTTTGGAGTGCAATATATCAAAATTCTATTAATTTGGTGATTTGGAACATGTTGAACTTTATTTAGTTGATTCGCAGGAAAACCAGAAACTTGCAAAATCCATTCAACCGTGTTTCTTTTCCCTGTCCATCATTCAAGAGACTACATTTTCTTCTAATTGGCTTTTCCTCATAACAGTAAGAAGGCTCTTTTGTGAGAATGCAGAATATCAGGTGCAGGAGAGTCAATGATGGAAGTTGATGAACACAATGGGAACTCCCTCAACTCCGAATGGAGCTAAGCATCTTAATTCTGCATACGAAAACGTCAAAAAAAAAAACGGTTTAGGTAATTTTGTTTTTCTGTAGCTGTCTTCTGTCATGTTTTCTGCTTCCATGAAAAGATCGGAAGCCCACTTCATTTTCCTGCTGTATGGAAAATGTGCAGTGAACTATTGTGCAAGTCCTTAATTTCACCTAGTTGTGATTGTTGTGAAGGGCCCATGTAGCGTATGTATTTAAATGTAGTGGTGACTGATCATGTTTGCGACAGACTGGTGATGTCTGGTATCAGTTTTTGCCTTAATTAGGACAACTCGCTGACATATGAAATGTTCAATTTTAACCTAAGCTAAATAATCCAAACCCAACTCATCCTTAATTTTTTTTGCTCAGGTTTATATTTGGGATTGCAACTCGGACTGAGAGATTTGGATTAGAATTCAGGTTGCACGCTGACTTTTTCATAAAACATCTTATATCACACCGATTTTATGCGACTTGAATATCACTTTCTCATTCTTTTGTGTGCTTGGAATGCACATCATCTTCCACTACTAAGCAAAATATGAACGGAGCTTACTTTTTTCACGGTAAAAACGAATTGAAGATATTGGCCAATAAATAACAAATGAACCATCGACCAGACCAACTTGGCCATAATTTGAAATACATATTTATAATTTAGTTTGGGTATGGGTGGGTTGATGACACCTTAATCCAATTCCAACCCTAATCAAGTCCGGGTTAATATTTTTTAACTCATATTCAACCATAATTGTAAAAATGGGATAGTTGCCCACCCAACCTTAACTGTAAAAAATAGTCACCCAAGTCGATGAAAAATTGAGTTGGATTCAAATTGGCCTGCCCAAGTTATGCCCTTAGCCTTACCACCTGACCTAAATGACAAACTCAAATCAAATATATCCAAAGAGGATTAATTTGTTAAAAAATGAGTTTCAGATAAGAAATTTTTAATATTAATTACTTCTTCCGTCCCAAAATAATTGTCTATCTTTTCATTTTGGGATGTCCCAAAAAACATGTCATATTCCAAAATTAAATGTACTATTTTTTTTAACATTCCCAAACTATCCTTTTAACTAAATAAAGGCACTAATTACGGAACACTATTTTCTCTTTTAGTAAAAACATATTTGAAACTTCACTCTTATCAATACAATAAAAAAGTACTAAAATTTCACTACCATAAAAAGTTGAATTCTTCACACAGAATATCCATGACTTCTGTTCAGAAAATAATAGGCATCAACATTCTAGTTACTTATCTTAATCCATTACTATATAACACCTTTTCCATTTTTATTTTATATTTTATTTTTATTCTGTCGAAAAGTTTAAGCCCACACCCACCATATTTTGCCCCTACTTGGGCTCGAACACCCACTAGGGGCCATTGGTGCCTTTTCCAAAAGATTAGTGTCACACTGTTGGTTTATTTTAAAGCATCATTTCATTCAAACAGATTGTGACAATGTATAAAACACACCATACAACATATATTACAACATGTACTATCAAGTCTCTCTCTCTCTTCTTTTTATTTCTCCAGTATACCGATATAGAAACCATAACCAAAACCAAACAAAAAAAAAAAAAAAAGTGAAACCAAATCTTTTACCAGGAAGAGCTTAAATTATACACATTCCACTGATGTCTTGATCAGGAAAATTTATAAATCCATACCTCCATTGCAGCACCTTCAAATTCGGGGTTCAGCAAATTTGCCCGCAATCAATACCCTTGTCAGAAAATGCTTCCACAAGTCTTGGGATGAGCTTAGCAAGCATGATCTTGAACCCTGTAGAACTTCCCTGTTGATTTTCTTCCCCGGATTTTTCGCAACCAAAAGCATAGCCGACTGGAGCTCCTTCCATATATGCCTTACAAGCCAAAAGAATATATTTGGAGCGTCGACTAAAGTGCTCCTCCACAAGTGCCTCAAAATGCTGCACCAGTACAGAAATGACCCAACTTTAAATTTAGAACTCTTATGCCAAAAAGAAATTAATTCAAGGATCATGTATCACGTTATTTATGTGAAAGGACAGGAGCTAGGCCATGCCAATAATCATCTTTTATGGGTGTAATTCTAATTTGCTAAAATAATAAATTAGTTAATTACTTTAACTTTGGGGCATCTGAATTCTGAACATCCCATGGAAAATAAGTCATTCCATTTTTTAGAGTATTTGATGGCACAGTAAATCAACTAGAATAGTTGCATTACAAAACAAAATCAGAGTTATAGCAAAGAATTGAATCACCAAATTACCATTAATGAAAATATATAAAATTGGTTCTTCAATTTGTAAAACTGACCTTGAAAGTTATGGAAAACAATATAGAATCATTTCCCAGATTCATCTCAGGGGACAAACGAGTGCCCCATGAATCTATTAACATATGTTTTTAAAAAATGTGTAACAGTCGATATAATGGCTGCTAATCTGTTAACGTTCAGACAGTATTTTGTTAATGGTCCAGAGGTAATTATCATATAAGCAGTTATGGTGGCCATTGTTGAAACCATGCAATTTTAGAGCTAATTGCTATTGTACAAATAATTTACCTTGGGTGGCTTGCGTAGTAGGTATAACATTGATTTGCAGCTAACAAGAAATGCATTTTCATTGTAGCTCACTGAGTTTTTCTCTCCTTCAGCTCTTCCCATCTGCTTATCATATCCGGCTTCATTAAAATAAGGCTTTTCATTAAGCACAAGAGCCTGTAGTGAGAGGAGAACTTGGAGAATAGTGGAACTTTCTGGACTCCATACTTCAGTGCCTTTGCCAGTCCATGTATTGAGAAGACTGAGACAGACCTTTCCAGATTCGTACAAATTTGGGTTGACACGCAGCCCACCCGAATTGTAGTGCACCAGCTGCAAGAAGTTCAATGTCAATAAAATTTATGAGAGTTATCAGTAAGATATAATGTGGACGTAGATAAACAAAAATACATATGGACTACTAACTTAGTAACTTCTTTATTCAGATATTATGTCAATAAGAACCGGAGAACTAAATTAAATTACTTACAGGTGGCTCATGAGGATACTCTGGAGGAAGAAAAATGTCAAAAAAGAAAATTCCATCATGGTATGGAGTTCCAGGTGCTCCTACGATGGCTGCCCGCAACAAATCCATCCTGTCCTCGTAGACACGGACAGAAATTGTCTCTGTTCAGGTTACAAAGTAGGTTCTATTAACCATAGCTCACAAAATTTGGAACTTGAGAATTACAAAAGAATTCCAATCTTCAATTTTTTTTGAACATTTTATATATTGAACTTATATAATGGCTGCTTTATATACTGCACCCATTTCTTCACCTTCACCTTTCACTAATCAAACACACAAGAGCCTCCTTTTTCTTTCGCATTCATTTATTTTTGAAGGTATTCAACAAAGGATTTCATAAAGAGGCGAATAGAGATTGGTTGAGAGGCCATTCTCAGCGGAGGCAGGCAATATAATGGGGATAAGGCTCCTGATCCAGATGGATCAACAGGGGCTTTCTTTCAGCAATAACAGTGTTTGGATGTGATGAGGGTGGATGTTATGGCAGTGCTTTGGAGTGGTTGGATAATAAGGGACTTTCGAGTTTTGATCTGCTGGCTAGATGGGTAGTATTTATAAGCTATGGTGAAAATTCTGTTTTTCACTCTGGTGGGTGATGAGAGAAGTTCCAGTGACCCAAAATGCCTTTGTTGAGGTACGCAAACCCTGGATGTGGTGCTCATAGCTAACGAATTTGTAAATACCCGGTTGCAGCAGGGAGAGGTGGGACGGTTTAGTTAGACATCGAGAACGTCTAACGCAAATTGGGGATTTTCTTTTTCCTAAATGTTGGGAAAATGTGGGCTTTGCAGCCAAGTGGAGGAAAAGAATAAGAACTTCCATCTCCATTGCTAGAGTCTGTTTTGGTGATGGCTCGTCAAAAAAGGTTTTTTGGGAGTTTTAAGGGACCGAGACAAGGGTCCCTCAATGTTGTTTATCCTGGTGTTGTATACCTCACTTGTACATAGGTTGGCCCCTTTTTTTGTGCCCTTCATGAAATATATTTTGCTTATAAGTAAAATACACTATCTTAATCTAATCTCCATCAATATCTTGATGCTGGATAGGATTCCATGGGCCACTAAAAGAAATGTAAAAGATGAGAGATAAGCACCATATTTTACATTTCGCCTGATGTACTAGGCTAGGTTAGTGAACCCACTAATGTGATTCACTCATCAAACTCACTCGTATCCTTTATCATATCCGACCGGCTGCTGCCTAATGATAGATTTCATAGAATTAATCATATCAAAGAAGTAAATATATAAGATACCAGGAAGATCTTTCTCAAGAATGATCCATTCTTGCTGAACCTTCTTCAACCAACTCTTTTTCACCTACAGACATAAAAGAAGAACACATTGTTTTCCAATATATGTGTCAACTAGTAAATTTTAAGGGGAAATACGAAGTTATCTTCCAACCTGAGACAATGTCAAACCCTTGCCGGAACCATCAGCAAAATGGTGGTCAAAGCAACCATTAACCATATCAAACTGCCCAAAATTTTCTGGGCTCTTGGTGTCTAATGAAAATTGAAGGGCTTCATTTTCCCCAATATCTTTGATTTGCAGCTCTAAATTAGTCTTGTCAGGTGTTTGCAAGTCACCTACAATCACTGGTGATCCCTCAGTGCACAAATTGCGAAATTCCAGTTCCTCCTCATTGGTCCCATCAGGCGCAGCTTCTAAAACATGCTCAGATATACCTGGTAGTGATGTGGAACCAAGAGGCCCGAATAGGTTTGCCACAATGCTCGTGAAAAACCCAACAGCAGCTTGAGGAAGGGAATAGAAACTAGAGTCCAATAATTCCTGAGCATGTAAGTGGAAAATCAACTTTTAATACGTAGACTACAGTTGACACAAGTATTTGAAAATAAATACTGAATTTAAATAAAAGTCACAAATTAAGAAGTCGTAACTCAATTCGTTAACAATTTGGGGATTCGAGTTACAGTTGTAGAAAATAAGTTTTCTTTCCTATTTTCTGTGAAGTTTCAACAGTCAAGTCGACCTGGAGTTCACTCCCTTGACAAAATATTCCCAAATTATAGTTTATATATATATATGTGTGTGTGTATATATATATATATATTATTTATTAAGGGAATGCATCCAAGTTCAAAATCACAGATGTGAAATTTCGAAAACTCTGCAGTTGTTACAAGATTCCTCATAGAAAAAATACAAATAAGGCTCAACCTTCCAACAAACACTACCTTTTACCCCCACACAGACTTGATTTTTTTTCCTGAATTGTTCCTTAAGCTATTGCAAAATTTTCTATTCCCCGTGACTTCTAAATAAATTTAAAAGCAAGTACTTCTAGTCTCATACAAGGCCTATGATACAAGTTTTCACCAACAAATGAGTCCCAAAACCAGAAAGCCTTCACTATAGATAGTCAGAGAGTGGGATATGTGTGTCTCAGTGTGAGTACATGCCAAAAGGAAAGAGTTGGAATTACCTTTCCTTTCCAGTGCAAAGAAGGCTTGTCATGTTCGGTAATCTCTTGATTCAATTGCTCATTGTTTTCCTCATTGATTACTGGAAAGGCAGATGAACCTTCAAATTTATCCATCTGAATGATTTCACAAGGGGCAACCTGAAATGATGTTGAAGTGTTAAAGAAATAATAACTAACAAATGGGCAGAACATCATGAAACAAATTTCAGTGCTGCATGAAAACAAAATGGATGGTAAATCATTAAACATATTTGACAAGCATCTGAGAATGGTGGATTACACAACAATCCTAACTAGTTTGGGAAGCCAGATCTGTTCATCCCACCATAGTGTTCTCTTACATTGTGAAATAGTGAGCATGAATGAATTTCACAAGACTCAATCCCTTAAATCCTAGAGCAAGGGACACAGCACAAGAGCAACTGAAATACCGAAAAAATCTGCTCAGCAAAAAGTTTTTGAGTATAATTGGGAAAGAACAAGGAGCAAGCTTAATTCAGTTATGATATTTAAATTTGCAATTAGAAAGCTAAACTTTAGTTTTGCGAAGATGCAGAAATTTTAGTTTGCATTACTATGGCATTACCCAATTTTGAGCCCCATCTAAGGACCAATAAGTCCTATGAATTTTAATTAAGACAAAAAAAAAAAAAAATCCTACCCATAAAATTTGTTTAAGTCGATTGTGAGGGTTCAAGTTCCCACGGGGGCAAATGAAAAAAAAAAAAAAAAATTGTTTAAACACAACCAGATTATGTAAACTTTACTTTTAAACTATGTTCACAAGAATTAAAATGTTTATGTTATGAGTTTATAAATGCAAATTTGTCTAATAAATAAAATTGTACTTAAGAGGAATAATCTTGCAAAATTAGAACTTAATGGTCCTCTCAAAAATGACTAGAAGTTGTGTAATATCTTGATATCCTTTCTACAAGAAAAGTTTTTTACAAAAGTGCCATTGCAACTACTAAAGCAAACTATACTTGTGTACCCAGTAGAACTCAATCAGAAAGCATAATCAACTTTAAAAAAAAATAAAATAAAATAAAATAAAAAAATAAAATAAAAAAAAAAAACTTGAAAATTTAGAATAGAACATAACAAAAATATAAAATAAATATAATTTTGAATTTAAAAAACAGAAAAGAAAAAGGAACCCATACCGTGGTAATAAGACCAGTAGCCCATTTCACCTCAACAGTCCCATCTTTGAAGCTCATAACAATTCCAATACATGATAAGTAACTATTGTTGGGGAACTCATTTTGATCTCCCCCACAGTACATACCCTTCAGATCAGCCTCCTCGCCCATTTCCATTTTTAAGGAGTCGGGGTTTTTGTAAATTTTTCCATGAACATGATCAACCGGCTGACTCTTTCCTAAACTAAACACTACATCACCAAGACAATAGGAATATTCTGGGTGCTCAGTTAGTTCATAAGCGCTCACAGTTTCCTCGATCTGCTCTCCCAGCAAATCAGATGCTCGATTTACTTCAGAAGTTTGCCATTTGACCTTCACAGTTTTTTCCTTCGGATCCAAGCTCCTCACAATGCCCCATCTTCTGCTGCTAGGAACATGTGGATCATCACAAGTGTTCTTTTCAATTACATATTGTCCAGGCCAAAAATCGTGAGCATCAACAATATTTATGGGGAACAGGGATTGTGAATCTAAACCCAATGAGTGGCTGCCATCTTGCCACTGAACATCAACTTTGGTTTTTGTCTTCACAATAACAAAGAGATCCTGAAAATTCGAAGTGAAGTTTCTTCTATGAAATTCTTTGTCTGATTGTTTATGCCCTTTAATGGGCTCACAAGAGGATGTATAAAGAAAGATATGCTCAATACCACCTTTACAGTCAGCAAATGGAAGTATACACCAATCGCCAAGCTGCCAGTTTGCATGTGAGAAACATGACAACAAGGTCAGTTTTTTTGAATCCTGCAAACATGGGGGAGCAAGCACCCTCTCACAACTGACCAGAGCACAGCCAAGCCAATCAACATACACCAATCCTGCTTCCACAGCACAAACAGTTCCTTCATCTCGCTTCGCCTTCCAAGTACCACATAACCATCTAGCTGATTTGGAAACAGATGAGAGCTCGACCAGCACTCTCTGTCCTGGATAATAAGGGTATCGTGAATCTTCAAGTAAGTTGGGAGAAATAGGTAGGAGCTTCTCTGGACCCATGGTGGTGAAATCACACTTTGAACCATCATCAAACAGGATGGTGACACAGTCAACTATTTTATCCACTTTTCCAAGCCATGGTCCATACACTACATAATCCCCCACTGAAATGGAACGAAGCTTTTGAAGGTTTTTAGAATCCACATCTTTTATCATTTTTCCATGAACATTTTCCAAGTCCACAAACATATCTATATTGACCACTCTGCCCATCTGTCCGGATGGATCTGTCTTGGAGCACACGATGTCCCCATGTATAAATTCCTTCTCAAACAAGAGAAAATCATCAATCTTTCCGATGGTTTCCTCCAGACTTGACAAAATGTTACAGGCCTGCCCACCATACAAAAATTCAATATCATCTAGATCCTCACTGCTACTAGTCACACTGAAACTGTCGAAGTCACTCAGGTCCAAATCCATCTTGTGAATGCCTATCAGAATATATGTGCAATTTAGTTAGATATTTGGAAAATAAATAAATAAATAAAGAAAGAGAAAGAAAAGGGCTGAGATATTGCAGCCTTTAAAAAGTTAATATGGAAAGAGTGTGATTGTGAATGATATAAGTGAGAAGAGCAGTCTGAATGATATAACACAACTAACACTGATTAACCATATTCAGCTTCATTCAAGAAACTATATACCTACTTCTGATGCATTTTAAAATATATTAACTAACCATATTGCTATAAAGAGACAATAATATTGAGAAGGGATAGTAAGTTACCACCAGATTTGCACCTTGCCTTATGGTTCAGAACAGTCAACACCTTTGCCTGTCGAAATGTTATCTTAAGCTGAATAGATTGCAATAAGGATCAGCAAGTGGTGCTGGACATCAAAGGATGAAGTGATAATAAATATCACTATAATTCTTCAAAAATATATCTACGTTTTCAAGATCAATCTGATCTTGGACTGCAGAGATCAAGATAGTATCTCCAAAGGATTGGAGATTAATGCCAAAGGAGATTTGCCAAATAGAGATAAAGGGAGTCTACTTGAGACTCCCAATTGCCAAAGGAGATTTGCCCAAAAAATGGACTGACACTAGAAGAAACTGCGAAAGGAGATTTTCTCAACCAAGATGAGTGAAAGTCCCAAAGGAAAGATACTCAGTGCCAAAGGAGATCTGCCCGATAGCCAGATTGGAGTTCCAGGAGAATGAGAAGATGACAATTTTTGAAAACCTCCTCAAGTATAACTGCCAAAACAGCTCTGGCCAACCAGAGGAAACTTGTGAATTTTGCCAAAGGAGATTTGCCCAACAGAGCTGAATCTTTGATAATCAAATATATGTGTATATATGTTGCCAAATTCTCTTAAAAGATATTTTATTTTAAAACCAATTTATATTGCCCAAGGAGATTTGCCCCTGAATGAAAGCCAAAGTTCCAATCAGGATTTGCCCACTGCCAAAGGAGATAGATTTGCCTCGCAGAGAGAGTTCAATCAACCAACAACAAATCTGGATTAAGAAGACAGATTCAAGCCATGCAACACAAAGAGTGAAAATCAGACAAATGTATCTTGTGGTGTGCCCAACAGCAATTCAGCCATCTCAATAATGATTTTTACTTGCCAAAAGTCAACAGCAGCCGTTGTAACGAGTTCACATTTGCAAGGAACCTGTAACAATACTTCCTGTTAAAATTCTTGGATTTCATCAATAAAGAGAAAACAAACACACACACACACTCACACACTTGGAGGATAAATTGATCAGTTTTCATTACTAAATTACATCTGTGAATAGAAGTATATGAAAAGAAAGCACAGAAGGCAGATATGAAAACATAAAAAGTGAGACATTTATGTCTTCTACCATTGAATGTTCTAGTATATGAAAAGAATATACTAAGAAAAAACAGAAAAAGAAAAAGAATATACTAAGAAAAGAATATACTAACAGGTGGGTTGAAAAAATAGAAAAAGAAAAAACACCAATAAAATAAGAATAACAGTGGGAACTTCTTATATCAATCCAATGTCACTTTATTCATAGAGTTAACTCCAGATGAATCCAGAATTTTCTTGAAATGTTACTAATCTTTAACATGAGCTTTTAATTTTATTAGGCTATATTTTGATCTGTTAGCCATTTTTAAAAGCAATAAACTTGAATAACCTCCTCGGATTCATTTTCGCAAATTAAACTTGGCAGGAAAACATTAACTTCATGGGTGTGCGTCAGAGTGATGTTTGTTTGTGTCTGTGTGTGTGACAGTGTGAGAGAGAACACAATCATCTTTCCCAAAAAATTGAAACAGAGAGAGAACACAACCATCTTTCCCAAAAAATTCAAACACAGAGAGAACACAACCATCTTTCCCAAAAATTCAAACATGGTTCTTAATTTGTCCTCAAGAAGGATTCACAATTTTGGCACACAAGTTCCCAAGATTCAGAAATTCAGATATAATTGTTTATAGTACAGACCTAAGTTGAAAGGAACTCTGAAAGAATTCAAATTCCATAAGATCGTGACAGGTTGTTGAAAATGAAAGTAATACCATTAACTGCAACAAAAAAAAACTGCTCAAAATAAACAAACAAACAAAATGGGGACAAGTCATTTCAAAATAATAACTAAAAATGAAATCATAAAAAAACACAAAATTGAATTCTTTATTTTGCGAATAAAAAATCACCCAAAAATGAGATTAAAAAGGAACAAATTGCAAGGTCAAGAACAGTACCATTTACTGTCTCTGAACTTCAATGGCGCCATATGATTCTTTTCTTCTTCGTCAGCAGATCATATGAAGTATACGCAGAGCTCGAATAGATGATATTCAGCTTTTCCTCTTATTTTCTTTCACTTTCTGGCACTTTTTCCTTTTTTGTTTGTTGGCAGAGAAAATTATTGAACGCAGTGGTAGAGGCCAAGAGAAGGAAAAGGTTTGGGAATTCAGAGAGGCAGAAGTTCCTCCCTAAATCCATCCATCACATGGCAGAGTTGCAAAGGTACACTCCCTCCTTTCCCTACAAGTCGTTTATGTCTCTCTTGAACGTTTGAGATTTCTGTGCGCTTTTTCATTTCACATCCAATTAGATATAAGCAACAATTGAGTCGATACGAACAGGAATATACCAACAGTATCTTTCTCTCTCCTCATATATATATATATATATATATATATATATATAGTTATGCAATACACACTTTCTTGTTCAACTGTTTATGCAACCAATTGGTGTCAAATGACCAAAATAGCCTTACTTCTGTGTGTCCAATTTTCTAACCAAGTCTAAACTTAATTCTTTCTTTTCTCCTAATATTATCTTTAATATGATTATGTCACTTTTCCTAACCGACATTTTGCACATGTCCAAACTCTTTTAATTTATTTTTTATTTTCATTTTATTTTTAATTAGTGATACTCCAACCTCTCTAGAATGTGATAATTTTTAATTCTATTCTCTCTAATTTTACTGCACATCGATTTAAATATTTACATTTCTATCAGATAAAAAAGTAATCTGGAGTTCATAAATCAAAACACACGTGTTAGGCGCTGAATGTTATACATTTTAGCCCCTCTATTCGCATGTTTTATTCTCTTAATAATAGTTATTTGTGATTTTACATTATTTTATTATTTTTATTTATTTCAGAGCTTTAATTGTAAAATCAGTTAAGACCAGTAATTCTGAGCTTTAAAAGATGACTTTTCGTGGGACCGAGCAATGTTGAAGATTTAAGTCTAATTATACTTAGAAAATAGTCCAAAAGAAGCCATAAGTTGATGAGAATGGAAAGAAGAAAAAAAGAAAAAAATCCTTCTCCAAAAAGGAAACTTTCGCCAAAGTTGATAACTTGACCATATTTTTGGTAATCTGGCTGTATCTCTTTTCTCGAGTGTCAAAACGGTTAAATTCCCGCGTGGGTTGAAAGGAAATTCGAAGAGCTATAATTTTGTATTTCACGTGGATTCCCTAAAACTGCTGTTTACCTTGTCAAAATTGGTTTGGAAGTCTGCACGAATTTTAAAGTCCTTATTTGACAGAATTTCTATGTATATCTCCTATATGAAAAAGAAAACTTTAGGGCCGATGTTTTATTATTTAAAGGGAGTCCTCTACAGCATTGAAAGGAATACAGAGGAGCTTGAGGCTGAGAGCATTCAGAAGAAAGAAGAGATCGATCCATGGCGGTGAAGATGTCTTCCTCAACCATGAAAAATTCCACTCCAGTCATGCTTGGCTAAACGCTTTGCTAGGGTTGTGATGTAGCCCTAGCTTAGCACACTGGTTTAATTGTATTTAATAATTGGAGAAATAATTTTCAACATGCATGATTGTGTAATCTATAGGGTTTTTAATTGAATCTTTAATAAAAATCGGTTTTGGAGTTTTAATTCGATTACAAATATTTTTCTGTCTTGTCTTAGATATTTTAATCTTGTAATTGAATACAACTCATTCACTTCTTGTAGTTGTGAATGAGATGACTACACAATTGTTTTTATCTGAATATAATGTTAGAGATTTGATGGATTATGCCTAGAAAGATAGACCATGCTACACCTTAGAATAAAGTAGTTAGGTAGATGGTTTATACCAATCAAAGATAGTCCATACTTAGTTTTAAATTATATTATTTTCTAACTGAATTAATATGTGCTTGTAGTCATGATTAATTCCCTGTGCATGTTATACGATGTATCTCCAATAAATTGATACAATTGATTAGTGGTGCGACGTTAGTGGTTAAGTCATACCCCTAATCCTCTATCTCTATTTACTACATCCTATTTAATCATTGTTCTTTAATTTATTTTATTTAGTTAATTTAAAATTAGTCATCACAATTCGATTATCTTACTTTCAAATTAATTTGGAATTTAAGAAATTTGTTGACAAATTTATTTAACACAAGTCTCTTGAGTACGATACCCTTACAAGTAAATCCTATCTGACAAAAGAAAACTTAAAATTGTGTGGGTAACTTTTGTTTTGATTTTTCAAAATAAAATGATGTTGGTTTATTTCTGTTTTTATTATTATTTAAAAAATTTCAAAGAAAAAGAATAATACACTTGCACACATTTTAAATTTTATGAGGACTTGACTCGTTAACTTTTTTTATTTTTATTAAAAGACTAGAAAATATTACTAAATTACTACCTTATGATTAGTTGATGAAAAATGAGTTAATGTGACGAACCATAAAACCCAAAAATCAAGCGGGGAGTAAGTGTAAAAGTAACAACGTGAAAGTCGTAAAAATTTTAAGTCAAGTAAAAAAGAACGATAACAAAAACGCAAAAGACCACGAAAACAAAAGCGGCCCAAAACGCGAAGTGACACTCGTGTGGAAGAATTACGTGACTTATCAGAGGGTTATAACCGACACATTGACAGTTTTTATTATGATGTTGTTTATCCAACTGTTTCATACAACTCATAGTCAAAGTTGCTAAACCATCCATGTATCGGCCTATTGGATTAGAAAAAGACTCTTGTCATGACATGTGTCAAATGCAAAAGTGGAACTTCCATTAAATGGTTTCCACATCTTAAATTCTTAATTATTGTTTTAAAGATTCGAATTTATAATTTAATGAAATATAAAATGAGAAAAAGAAAAAAAATTAGCCACACCAGTAGAATAAATCATTAATAATATTTCAGTTTTTTGGGCACTAATGCGCTCTCTCTCATGCGGACAAAGCGGTTGTGCATATTTGTATATGCCAGGTCACTGGTTTTAAGAGGGGGCTCAATCAGCTTCGAATTCAAAGGAAAAATGAACAGAGGATAAGCAACTTGAGTTTTGATTTAATAGACAAATGTTCGATCCGTTAGCAAGGGTGGAGCCAATTAAGGCCCAGAGGGGGTACCTGTCCCCCTCACTTTGCTCCAACCTACTATACATAGGTATATATTTACAATATATTTTTCTATTTCTAATTTTTGTTTCCTTTTTTTTAAAAAAAAATTCTTTTTTCACTTATGTATAATTATCTATTTTTTTATTTTTTTAAACTTATTTCTTTTACCGATGACATTTGTGATTGTATTTAATTAAAATATTATTAATTAATATTTTGACTCTTATATTTGTAACTGTATTTTTTTTACGGTATCTATTTAGTATATTATTTTACAACTATTTTTTTTATTTGTCTTTTTAATTTAAAAAAATTATATTGTCATATTTATTATATAAAAAAAAATTAACAAGTGCATTGTGTCCCCTCTGAAATAAAATTCTGGCTCTGCCCCTGTCCGTTAGCATTAGTTTTAGAGTCCGATGTAATTTTTGATAAGGGTGTATTTAAAAAATGTTAAGTCTCTAAACAGGGTGATCCGGTCTTAAGGAAGACATTACAAGTAATAAAAAAAAAAAAAAAAAAAAAATATATATATATATATATATATATATATATATATATATATTAATTGAATAGAAGACGTATATAGGCTATATGCAACATTGCTCCACAACTTAACTTTTTAAATTAAATGACAAATTATTAAAAAATAATAATAAATAAAATCAAACCAATAACTCCATTAATTAGGTAATGAGCATTGCTAAGAAAGAACTGAGATTGAAGCCGAAAGGAAAGTTATATGTGTGTGTGTGTGTGTGTGGGGTCAATTGGTATGCATGTGTCTAAAAGCACCAAGGTGAAGCTATGGTTATGATTTCCTGACAACTCTAAAAAGTTATAGTACTTATGCTGTAGCAGATCTTCCAGTAGAATTTTCTTTCAGGGCATTAAACTAGGATACTGCAGTCGGTCTCATAACTATAGCATCAGATTAGTCGACGAAATTAAAAGGCTTGGTAGAGGACTCGAACACTGACCTTGTGTGTGCCAGGCCCAAGTCCCACCATCACTGCTAACCCGCCAGGGCTGCAAGTCACCATTTTGCTTTTAAGCAATTCACCAAGTTGAAACAATTAAATTGTTTGTACCATTTTCCTTTTACAATTGTTCCACCGTCTTTAATATAGACACCCATTGATATATTCACACATATACATACACATATATATTTATATATAGTTGTTGCATATATCAATGGATGATTTCCATAGTTCCCCTACTTCATTCCATATGGACCACATATTAACATACAAAAAATTAATGGAAAAGATTACTAAAGATTATGTCACATAACAATCTCTTTCAGTGATTGAACCTTGTTTTACGACATGTTTTGCGGAGACTCAACAAACCATGTAACTGGACCTTGTTTCCTTCATAACCAATACATGTGTACCTACTCTACTGCCTTTGACAATTTCAATTCCCAAAAGGAAATATGAAAGTGGGTTAATCATTCTGGTTTTATATGAATTATATATCGAACCACCAGACTTAAAAGATACCAACTTTATTCTTTGCGTAGTTGAAATCTCTAAAGAGTGTGATCAAAAGTCTAATAGCAGTAAGTCACTATCTAGTTGGAAAGACATTTTTTTGCCAATGAAAGTGACTTGTTCCTAATTATTCTTCCCACTACATTGAATAAACTAGGTTTAAAACTAACATTTCCACTCAAATAAACTAAAGTTAAAACATTCTTAATTTTGATGTTTTCTGTTCTCTTTTTTGGGTGGATTAAGTTTACCCAATTCCTGCTTCACTTTGCACTTAGTTATGTATCTGTCCTGAATTTGGTCCCAAATTCATGTGGGCCTTAGTGATCACAAGGGACCATAAAACAGTGATTGCCTCTTGGCTCTTGCTAGAGTGAACAATTGCAAGTTGATATCTAAAAGTTCCAGTTCTAGTTGTATACTACAAGTACTGTGAGGTTTTGGAATTTTGTTGCGCTCGCGTTTTGTTGCGATCCAATTTCTCGTGGCCAGGATGTGGATTCGGTTCTAGAATTATCTTGCAGTGCGTATAAGGACATTTAGGATTTGAAGTGTGTCACTGAGACATGTGTGCGTGTTAAAGCTTGACTTTGAAATATATCTCCGCATCAAGCCAGTTACATTAACATTATTGGCCAAATTTACAAAATTTGAGGTATTTTGTACTAACTAGCTAGCACATCACCTTGTGTTTTAAGCGAAAAAATAAGAAATGATACCCCACACATAGTCCATGAAT